CATACACACACAGAGGGCATCTCTTGAGGAGCACCTAACAACAGTCCAATACTTACCTGACAGAGCCAGCAAGGCACATACACACACAGAGGGCACATCTTTTAATTCCGTTTTCCCACAGACTTTTTGAAATCTCATCTAAATGTTATTATCTACATTATTTTGTCTTTATATCTACAGAGCTTGGTAACAGACTGGATTACTTGTTGAGATAGCAATAATATGTTTGGCAGTTCAAAACCCACCAGTGGCTCTACTCTGAAGGACAATGATGAAATTGTCAACTCCTTTAGGAGATTTTCAGTTTCAGAAACCCTATGTTGGGTCCCTATGAGTTAGAATTAATGGCAGGGTTTTATTTTTAAAATCTATCTATCTATACACAAATCTATATTCCACAATATCCACCTATGTTGTTGCTGTCAGTTAACTGGGTTCGGCCTCATGGTGACCCCATGGGTGTAGAATAGAACTACTCCATAGTTTGAAAGGCTATGATCTTTCAGAAGCGAATTGCCAGGTGTGGCTTCCAAGGTGCTTCTTGGTGGGTTTGAACTTTCAACCTTTTGACTAGTAGTCAAGTGCTTAACCAGTATGCCACCTAGGTACGACAGTATTCACCCATATTGAATATTCAAATCTGTTACATAGGTTCATGTAGTTCACTACTATATTCCAAATAAAATTCAATGAAACAAAAATTTCAAGATTATATATTTTGAATGCAATTGCATATTAGCATCCTAATTAATGTATATTAAGTAGAGTTAGAATGTATATTATACAATAGAATACAGACTTCTACTCTATTTAACAGGCTATTTTATCACAAAGTTAACGGCGGAATGGTATATAATACGGAAGTCAGGTGAACTGTATAGCACTACACGCTCCTTTGTTCCTTTCTGCGCTTGAATTTTCTAATTCCTGCGTGGAAACTGGGTGAAAGACTAGATAGAGGTAATCTATGTTAATGGAATGGTCCTTAGAAGTCCAGTGGTTAACGTAAACTAGACCCTTAGCTATCACTTTGTTTACCTAGATTTCGTTCTTTAGCTATAAAAAGTGTTAAATTTTGCTGCATACAGGTTTAAAATCTAGGTAATCTACTGTGGTCGCCGCGTTGGCAATCCAGAGAGCCCGGGTGAAACAGCAAGGACACGACATAAACCACCTGCCTATATGGGAAGCGCTGCTAAACCCGCAGGAAGTGCGGGCCCGACCTCCAGTATCCCAGCAGCCCCTGCGCTGTCCCCGTAGCTCTGCCCCTGCATCTCTATGGTCGGAGAGTCGCTCTTCTGCATCTTGGCGGCGGTTGCGGGGCTGGCAGTTCCTGGCAGGACACGTGAGGGATCCACTTTTCTAGCTGGCCTTGGTGGCTTTCGGCTCAGAGGGACGCCATGTCCGAGAAAAAGCAGCCGGTGGACCTGGGTCTCCTGGAGGAGGACGACGAGTTCGAGGAGTTCCCCGCCGAAGGTAACCGGCTGGGCCCTGCCGCCCTCGAGGCCGCGCGCCCGGTGACTCAGGCCTCTGTGGCTGCGGCGCTGGCTTTCGGGCCCGACTCGGGGGCTTCGGTGGCAAGTCTGGGCCCCAGCGGCCGACCTTCCGGACCCCTGGCGCGCCACCCTCCGCGCTCCCCGGCCTCGGGACCCGGGTGTCACGGCCCGCTGTTGAGGCCTGAAGGATTTGCTTCCTCCTGGCAGGAGGGAGCCATGGGGATCTGGGGCCCCAGTCCTGTGTCGGATCTGGCCCCTTTATTGTTCAGGGAGATACTCCCCACACTCCACCCCCGGTTTATGTCTGCATAATTTCCCCCCCTTTATTTTCTTTTGGTTTCATGGCCTGCCTTTGCCCACTATTCCCAAGTAAGTCAACCTGTTGCTCGTGGCCATGCCACTGCTGGGTACTAAAATGGTTACAAATGAAGCTGCTAAGTCGGAGGCGAGGATTAGGCTTGAGGTGCTTAATATACATATTGGTTACCCTTGTAGCTCATCATTTTTGATCACATAATTTTGAGCTACTTTATGAGTCTAAAATGAGGATTTTATTAAAATTAGTTTCATGGTCACCAAGAGGATCCTTAGTTTTCTCATTGTAGTTATAGTAAATCGTTACGGTTTAAAATAAATGGCTAACAGTATTAAGTGGTTAGCACGTTGCCAGACACTTTCCCAAATGCTTTCATTGAAATAATCCTCAACTTGTCAGAAGTGGATAGTGAGGACCACTTTACAAAATTGAAGCTTCTTGGGGGCGGGGTGGAGTTAATGGGCTCACCTAGTGGCACACAACTGGCTGAAAATTATGGGAACTGGATTTGGAACACAAGACCTTTAAGCTGCCCTATTACAGTTTGTTAGCTGTGGTCAGATTTATAGAATTACTTCTCTGGCCAATTGTTATGAATAAGATTCACAGATACTTACCTTGTAAGAAAAGAAGACTGTGATTGTGTAACCTTTGGGCAGGTAAATGGTAGGAAGAGAACTGTGGTTAATGGTGTACTTGTCTGTTGTATTAAGCCATTATCACTTTACTAAAATTGCCCTAAATTGTACTCCCTCTGTGACCTTATAATGCATAAAACCACAGAGCTGGAATGTGTTCAGTTTATGTCTAGTGTGCTCTACTATTTTGTTCATCTGCAAAACCGAACAAACAAACTCCAGCCAACAGCCAACAAGTTGATGCCGACAACTCCTAGTGACCCTGTGGAACTGGGTAGAACCACCTCTGTGAGTTTCCAAGACTGTAACTCTTTACTGGAGTAGATAGCCCGGTTTTTCCCCTGAGCAATGGCTTGTGGTTTCGAACTGCTGACCTTGCAGTTAGCAGCCCAACAAATAATCACTATACCACCAGGGCTCCTCTATCTGCTGCGAAAATCTCTTCAAAATGTTAAAGAACTAAGAAATTATTTTGAGAGCTAGGGTGCTCCTGACCCAAGCCAGGCTCTTTTCATCTGCCCCATATGCAGGGGAAAGCTGGATAATCAAATAAGAATGTAGAAGAAGTGATCCATTTGAAATATGGGGTTGGAGGGAAAAAACCATGGACAACTAGAAGAACAAGCAACCTTAGTGGGATGGTGGGTTAAACATTGGGCTGCTAACCTCAAGGTTGGTGGTTCAAATCTACAGCCGCCCTAGGGAAGATGGATGAGGCAGCCTGCTCTTGTTAAGAGTTCTTTTCTGTCCAGTAGGGTTGTTCTGAGTCAGAATCAGCTTGGTGACCGTGGGTTTTGTTTGTTTATTTGTTGTAACCAGAACAAACAAACCTGCCCTAGAAGAAGTATAGGCAGAAAGATCTCACACACTTTGGACAAGTTATCACAAAGAATCACTCAGCCCTTGGATTAGGACATCATGCTTGGAAAAGTAGAGGGCTAGGGGAAAAGAGGACAGTCCTTAAAAGATGGATTGACACAGTGGCTGCAAACAATGGACTCAAACAGAACAATGATTATGAAGGTATTAGAGGACCTGGCAGCATTTTGTTCATCGTTGGACATTGACAGCGTCGCTGAGTTGGAAATGACTTGACATCACCTAACAGTGTCAACTTGTATTTTGCTTAGTGGAAGAGAGATGACATAATTGTAGAGTGGGGTTTAAAATTAATATAACTTCCTCCCAAACTTCAAAAATATATATCAGACAGATACTAAAAGTTTAAAAAACATATTTTCACAAATTTTGTTTCTGACAGTTTAAAGAAATGAATGAGAAGAAAACAAGTGGCTCTCTCAGTTCTCTTGTTCTCTTCCTGCGTCAGAATTGTGTGTGGGTTTGGTAGGGAAAAGTTTTAGGATATTTAAAATGAGAAATGAGTTGGATTCTAGAATTAATGGTATTTGCCAGAAAATGCTGTTCTTCTATAAGTTTCTATAATCAGTGAAACTGCTATATAGTCTAGAGAAAGTGCTAGTGATGGGAACCTGTTGAGGTGGCAAAGGCTAGCGGTCCCTCTGTTTAACAAATTAGTACATATTCTTACTACTAGGTGCCCCGGAGTTGCTTCCAAGTCATAGTGTTCCTGTGTGCAACCAAAGGAAACACTGCCATGTCATGTGAAACCCTCGCAATTGTTCTATTTGAGGTGTTGTAGTCAGTTTCGGTCCATTTCCTTGAGGGTCTTCCTCTTTTTGGCAGACATCCTATTTTATCAACATGCATGATGTCCTGTTGCAAGCACAAAGTATGTGAAAGACAATCTTGCCATCCTTGCTTCTAAGGAGCATTCTTGTACTTCCAAGACAGATTTGTTTGTTCTTCTGACAGCCCATGGTATTTTCAATATTCAGTGCCATAATTCAAATGTATCGATTCTTCTGTCTCCCTTATGCATTGTCTAACTTTGATCAGCATTGTCAAAAAACCCCAAAAACCTCAGGCTCACTGCCCTTGAGTTGATGTTGACTCATAATGACCTTGTAGGGCAGGGTGAACTGCCCCTCGGAGTTTCTGAGATTGTAACTGCTTACAACAAGTAGAAAGCCTGGACCTTCCTCCCTCAGAGCAGCTGATGGATTCAAACTACCAACCTTGCGGATCCCAGCTCATAGCCACTGTGCCTCCAGGGCCCCTGTACCAGCATATGAGGGGACAGAAAGTATCGTCTTAGAGTGGTTCTTCACCAAGAGTGTTTTGGTTGTCTCGTTCACTTGATGGGTGGCATTGTGTGATAGGTACCAGCATTTCGTAGGAAGAGGCTGTGGGAGAAATGTCACAGTCTGCGTCCATTATCATGACAGCCTAGACAACCCCGTTGGGCAAGTCTCCCCTGCCACCCAGGGTCCCTCTGAGTTGGAACTGACTAGATGGCCCCCAGCACCAACATGCACCAGTCAATCCTGCACAATTGCTCGATGAAAAATAACATACACACAAGACATTGAATCCGGACTGTTGGGTATACTGTATATACGCGTGTATAAGCTGAGTTTTTTCATCACATTTTTCGTGCAGTTTTTGTGGTAAAATTAGGTGTCTCGGCTGATACTCGAGTCAGCTTATACTCGAGTGTATATGGTACTAGACTATTAGGTACTAACTGTTGGATACACTAAACATTGACTAGTAACTATTCATTTGTTCTTAACAGTCCCATAGATCTTAAATGTAGAAGGTAGACATGATGATATTATGTGCAGATAATGCTCAAGTTTGTTTCCCTAATGTGGAAAGAGTTTTAATAGTTGTAGTTATTCAATGAAATGTGTTGCGGAGTGCTGTTAAAAGTCAATTTTCAGCTGTTGGCAGCCCTGTGTAACATAGTAGAATTGCTCTTTATGATTCTTGAGGCTGTAATCTTTGCAGCAAAAGGTTGCCAGGTCTTTCTGCTGGGTTGCTTCCAACCTCCAATCTTGTGGTTAGCCGTTGAGTACTTAACTGTTTTGCCACCAGGACTCTTATTAAGTATGATACATTGAACATATAAACAATAGTATCTAACCTTTTGCTTAGTTGCAGGGTAGTAGCAAGAGGAAAACTCATGTTATTAAATTTTTTCAAGAAAAAAATAAACTCTACAGTAAAGTTTGTGAAAGCAAGAACCTAAGTAAGGCAGAAACCTGTTAGAAAAGGAAAGCTCCAATGTTTTCTCGTAACTAGTGGTAGAGAAGTGATGACTACATCCTGTCCAGGCAAACAACTTGTGAACCCCCAAAACAAGGCACAGCCTTTATTGTGTGGTGAGTGGCTGTGGTGCTAGAGTTTCTGTTAGTAGGAGGAACCATCTGCAACGAGCGAATTAAAGTTTCTGAGCCCCAGGATGGAATAAGCATGGTGAATTTAGGATTAAACCTAGATTCAAATCTACTGTTCTTTAAACTTTAATAGTAAAGAATAGTTAGAAAAGTAATTGCTTATGGTAAAAATCTAAACCCTTACATTGAAAAGTGAAAGCATTGTTCTGTATCTCTTCTTCCCCAACGTTCTCATACCTCAGTGGTAACTACTGCTAAATGTTTTTTTCATGTATCTTGCTAGAATGTCTAAGTATATATCCTTTAAATATACATACCAATAACTGCCCTCTATGTACTTTTCTCCTACTTGCTTTTAAATCGCTTAGTATATCGTAGACAGTTTGGGGTATTGATGTAAAGGTCTGCCTTATGCTTTTAAAATAGTTTTATACTTGTTTATTGTGTTTATGTTAAGTAATTTGACTAGTACCTTAGCAATATAGTTTTTTTCTGGTTTGTTTTTATGTTTTATTTTTACTCTTACAGTACACGCTACTTAGACCTTTGCTCATTTTTGTTTTGTGTATGCATATTTGCTTATCTATAAGATGAACTAGAGGGGAAATTGCCAATTCAAATTGGCAAGTTCATTATTATTTCTAATTTTTGTAGAGTTTCCTTGTTTTGAAATTTTCATCAGCTTACAAAGTAGCTGAAAGTACAGGACAACTTTTATCCTGAGCCATTTAAAAGTGAATTGCTAACCTTACGCCCTGTTATCTGT